TTTGCATGACTGACTTCATCCCTCGAATGCACCATAATATCATATATATAAAAACAACCACAAAAGTGTTCAAAAACTGCCTGAAGGCTCTGTTCATCAGGTCCATGAAAATTGTTGGAACATTTGTCAGTCCAAATAGCATCACCACGAATTCATAGTGCTCATATCTAGCCTTGAAAACGGTCATCATTGTCTTGTTCTCTATTCCTCAGTTGGTGATAGCCTGATCTCATATCGATCATTGGAAATACAGAAGCCCCATCCAGTTGGTCAAACAAATCGTCAATCTGCAGCAATGGATATTTATTTTTAAATGTCAATTTATTCGACTCTCTGTAGTCAATATACATCATGTAGCTCCTATCCTTCTTCACAAATAATATCGGAGCTCCCCAGGTGAGGTGCTAGGTCTTATGAACCTCTTATCTAGTAATTCGTGCAACTGGCTCTTCAACTCTTTAACTGTCATTCTGTAGGGTGCCTTGGATACAAGCTTAGGACCTGAAAATAGCTCACTACTGAAATTAATCTCTCGCATTGGAGGTAGTCATGGTAAATCATCAAGGAACACTTTTGAAAATTCTATTTCCACTGGAATATCACCCAAAAACTGTACTTCCTTGGGAGTATTTATTTCCTGAGCCTTAAAATCTTGACTTCCATGATTCAACAATTTATAAGCCTTCGAACATATAATAATCATGGATGATAATCCTCTGTCACCAGAAATTTAGTTTCTGCTTCCCCAGATACATTTATTTTGACGGCCTTCTTATTGCAATCAATAGTGACACATTTTAGACATCCAATCGATGCCTAAAATCACATCAAATTCCACGAAGGGCAACACTATAAGTTGGGCGTCAAAATCCTTTTGACCAATCATATGATTCACTGCACATGATTTATTAATATCTAGAAAAGCACCATTTAACATTCTCACCGACAGTATCACAGACATAAAAGGATATTCAATCGCATCATTTTAGCCAGTTCACCAACTATGAATGAGTGTGATGCTCCTGAATCAAATAATATTTTTATCGGCCCATACTGAAGATATATGATACCAATTATTAAAATCATGACATTAAATATTTAGAGTCGGCTTTTTAATCTATTTAAATTCTTATTTGTTTTATGTATGACATCACATGAATCCTAAGATACTTAAAGTGCACTGGATTGAAATTATTAAGAATAAAAAATATCTGTGATGACGTCTGGGGAGTCCTTAGTTTCATGTTGTGAAAGAGTATTTACTCTGAGCTGAATTTTCTACCGAGTCAGACCTGTATTTGGCATTGATCCCGAAGATTCTGCTGCTCGCGGTCTTTCATAGCTCCTCTAAGGTGGTGCAGCACTGCCTCTGGAATCTTTTGGAGCCCTCTGACCCAATTTAGGGCAATTCTTCGTCATATGTCTTAGTTGGTGGCACTAAAAGCAATTGTTGGATCCAGATTGACACTTCCCCTTGTGAGACCTTCCACACCTATCACATTTCTTTGCTTTAAACTAAGTGTCAACGCTGCTTGATCTAGCATTCTTAGCACCTTTACTGCTTCACTAGAAGAATGCCTCTGAGAGCTCTAAGGAAACCTTAATCCCTCTAAATTTCTTTTTTTTTAATGTCACTCCTCCTTTGAAAAGCTTCTAGATCTAATTCATTCATTATGGCTATCTCCACCAATACAGAAAAATCATCGATTCTAAGAGGAATCAATTGTCGTCTAATGACATTTTTAAGCCTATACAATAATCGATGACACTTCTCCTCTATATTTGGAATCAACTGAGGTGCATACCTTGAAAGCATGGTGAATTCAACTTCATACTTCTTATTAGATTGATCAACCTGTACCAACTGAATAAATTTGTCATACATTTATCTTCTAGCGGACAGTGGTATGAATCAGTATTTAAAGGTGCTCACAAGCTCATCCCACGGAATCATGTGATTGATTTTACCCCCAAATTACTTCTACACTTGCCCTCACCACCATCACTTTACTTCTCCTTCTAATGCAAATTTAGCCAGTGTAAACATCTTCTCAGGAGGACAAGATAATCCATCTAATATCTCCACTCAGCAACCAGTTTTCGGCATCCACCAGACCTTCTCTAGAAAAAAAAGGTGGTCTTATATCCTTAAATAACTTCAAGTACTCATTCTGATGGTTTTTTTAGATCATGATCAAACATAATTACTCGGATACCAATTTTGTCACGACCTGACTCGCTGCTTAGAATAAACTAAGGCAGGAACTATGGTCGGTCGGTATTAAAATTTCATTTTTCTTTTAACATAATTTTGGAAATTTCCAATATATATAAAATAGTCACAAATCTACAAAGTCTATAAAATTTAAACATTCAGAAACAACATCATTTATAGACAACAATCTCAAATCAACTTATAAATTGTCTCTATATAGATGTATACAAAAGAAAACTAAAATCACATCACAAACAATTATCTATTAACTGCAGTTCTCCCCCTGTAAACCAAATCTCTCATACCAGGCATATCAACTTAAAATTTTTCTTCTTCTAAAAGAAAATATTAATTGCTACCGTAAGTATGATATAGTGAGGAAATAAAATTTAGTATGCATTAAATTTTTATGTTATACTGTGCATGAATGACCAAAAAAATGCAATTCATTGATTTATGAAATTTTAAATTATTTATTTAAAATTTGTCTTCCTGTTGCACTTTAATTATTTACCGTTTAAACATTTTTAATAGTTGTCACATGATTCTTGTCACACCCTTAGGTATCCTAAAAAATATGCTCGAAGTACACTCAAAATTTTACCCGAATGTACCTTCAAATTGTACCCAATGTGTACCTTTGCAATTTTCTTTAATGTGCGTGAGTACATTACATCTCTTGACAGTACCATCCATGGGTAATCCTGTATGACTTAATCATTTACTTAACATTTCATATCAATTAAAATATTTAAAATGTAATTTCTCATTTCGATTATTTCCTCTCAATTGTGATATCACATGAGACTTTAAAAATGTCAGACATTAATGAAATATTGGTTTTTAACCATTTAATAAAACAATTATCATTTAATGAAACATTAATTTAATGCATTAAACAAAATAATTACTCATCTTATTTTCAAGAGATCTTTGAAATATGTATATCTTCACTTTACTTCCTTCAACTAACAGCTAAATCAGTTAAATATGCATATGGTTATAAGGATCTCATTCTAAAAGAAAGACTTACATATCTAATAACATATAAACTAAATTGACACATATAAGTCAATTAGGCAATTTGTTACCTTTAAAGATCTGATTTGCTTATTGTACAAAACTTCTCTTCCCTCTTACAACTCTAATTGATTCACCTCTAATTTTCTACCTTTATATTTGATTAAATTAAACTAGTCACAAATCTACAAAGTCTATAAAATTTAAACATTCAGAAACAACATCATTTATAGACAACAATCTCAAATCAACTTATAAATTGTCTCTATATAGATGTATACAAAAGAAAACTAAAATCACATCACAAACAATTATCTATTAACTGCAGTTCTCCCCCTCTAAACCAAATCTCTCATACCAGGCATATCAACTTAAAATTTTTCTTCTTCTAAAAGAAAATATTAATTGCTACCGTAAGTATGATATAGTGAGGAAATAAAATTTAGTATGCATTAAATTTTTATGTTATACTGTGCATGAATGACCAAAAAAATGCAATTCATTGATTTATGAAATTTTAAATTATTTATTTAAAATTTGTCTTCCTGTTGCACTTTAATTATTTACCGTTTAAACATTTTTAATAGTTGTCACATGATTCTTGTCACACCCTTAGGTATCCTAAAAAATATGCTCGAAGTACACTCAAAATTTTACCCGAATGTACCTTCAAATTGTACCCAATGTGTACCTTTGCAATTTTCTTTAATGTGCGTGAGTACATTACATCTCTTGACAGTACCATCCATGGGTAATCCTGTATGACTTAATCATTTACTTAACATTTCATATCAATTAAAATATTTAAAATGTAATTTCTCATTTCGATTATTTCCTCTCAATTGTGATATCACATGAGACTTTAAAAATGTCAGACATTAATGAAATATTGGTTTTTAACCATTTAATAAAACAATTATCATTTAATGAAACATTAATTTAATGCATTAAACAAAATAATTACTCATCTTATTTTCAAGAGATCTTTGAAATATGTATATCTTCACTTTACTTCCTTCAACTAACAGCTAAATCAGTTAAATATGCATATGGTTATAAGGATCTCATTCTAAAAGAAAAACTTACATATCTAATAACATATAAACTAAATTGACACATATAAGTCAATTAGGCAATTTGTTACCTTTAAAGATCTGATTTGCTTATTGTACAAAACTTCTCTTCCCTCTTACAACTCTAATTGATTCACCTCTAATTTTCTACCTTTATATTTGATTAAATTAAACTTGTTAATAGCATTTAGCTAGTAAACTGATATTTCCTATTCAAATACCCAAGATTCTAATCTTACTGTTCTCATACAAGGCTTTAAAATGCTCACAAGCAGTCTTCCTTTTTCTTCGCATCAAGCCTATCCATATACAGTATCTGATTTAAATTCATAAACCTTAAATGTTAATCTTATAATCTATTTAATCAATTAATTTTATATATTTTAAAATGTAAACTAAATCAAATTTATTTAATTTAAATTAAAACTCGTGAATCTTATCTTACATAAGCTCGGCCAGCAGCCCTATGTCACGCAAGCCCGAGTTTGGCTCCTCTTCTCTTCTTCTTGCACGCGAGCACGAAGCTGATCTCGTCTCCTCTTTTTATTCTTCGCAGCTGGGCTCCCCAAAATGATAAATTCACATAAATGAACTTCCCATGTCCATCTCTTTTTACTCTATCACTAAGTTATTAGCTTAAGATGTAGCATTCATTAAAAATTAAGTTGGCTTGTTTGATTTATCAAATGCAGGTTGAGGATGTAGTTCTTCTTCTGGATGATGAAGATTTTTGTGGGAAGTCAATGGACGTTTCAAGCGATGAATGGTGGGTTAGAATTTTCGTACTTCTTTTGACTGATTGAAGTTTCTCACTCTCTAGTATGAACCTCTTCTGTGGAAGTCTTAATGTGAGGTTGTTAATTGTCATTTTTTTTTCCAGGAAGGAAGTCAGATTATATTATCCTTCTCGGTGCAGATCTAAAACCAATATATGATGTGGATTAATACGGAGCTAATGATTTGGTTGTTACTTCCACTCAGTATCTTTGCGATTTTTCTTTGCAGGAATGACCCGGAATCTGTAGCACTCTCTTGCTCTGACATGGAATGCCTAAATCCTGAACAATTCTTATCGTCGCCTGTAATGAACTTCTACATTCTGTAAGTATATCATGCCATTCATTCAGTTTTTAACATTTTTTTACTGTAGTTTTCCTTTGTCTAACATGGATAGTTTGTGTGAGGGCTTTCATTCTATGATATTGAAGAGAGCAATTCTAATTCGTTTGATTGTTAGATTTTACTTTCCTGTTAAGGAGAACTCAATAAAATATTTTGATTGTATCAGTTGGAACTGCTGTTTAGTTTAACTTTCTGTCAATTTCCACCTCTTACACGAACATCAGTGGGACCAACTTGGATTAAATTTGAAGAATTTTGGGACTAAATTGGTCACTCTTAATAATTTGGGACTAAAATACCCCTCACATGTAATTCAGGGATTATTTCGGCCATTTTTCTTAATAGAAGTTTAAGGCAGAACATCTGTATGTTGTCTTCTAGACCCGTGCAACCAATGTAGTTGGTGTGGGATCCAAAAATTTTGACACCCAGACTCTTGTTTTATTGTTGAGAGCTTTGTATTTGATATTCCGGGCCAAATTTTTAGAAGATAGATGGAACAGTAACTATGACACTACTCAGAGATTTTGTCTTCATTATACGAGGACTTTTGGACTGTGGTTTGAGGTTTCATATAGGCACAAGCCCTGTGGTTAATTTTCCCTCTTGATAACAGGAGATCACTTTCGATTAAGACTAGTCATTAAACATTAAATATTTAGCATATAATAGCAACAAACTTAAAGTATTGGATTGTAAAATTTATCATCTTGAGCTTAATTAAAGTGAATGTTGGAGAAAATGATTGCTAAGTCGATCAAATCTCATAATTTCGTAGTCCCGAGTCGTCATGGTTCCTGATCTACCTAATAAGAGGAGATAGTTTACCTAACCTAATTGAAAGATTCTTACCAGCAACCACAGGTTGTGTCAACCAATGGTGGATGTCTGCCTAATGGGACAATTTAAGTCGACTTTAACTGACAAGATTTTATGTTAATCAATTATACTTTTATGGTTTACACCTCGAAGGGCATAAAACCATTGAGGAACTTATGGGCTGTAGTCGTGGCCGTAATTTAAATATAATTGTTATCTAATAAGAGGAGATAGTTTACCTAACCTAATTGAAAGATTCTTACCAGCAACCACAGGTTGTGTCAACCAATGGTGGATGTCTGCCTAAGGGGACAATTTAAGTCGACTTTAACTGACAAGATTTTATGTCAATCAATTATACTTTTATGGTTTACAACTCGAAGGGCATAAAACCATTGAGGAACTTATGGGTTGTAGTCGTGGCCGTAATTTAAATATAATTGTCATCTGATGGCAACCTCTTGGTCAGAGAGCTCTTGTCGCAACTGATACTTTAGCGTTATTTGGCGGCAAAATCACTTGGACAGAAGACTCGGGCTACATACTTACCGACATGAAATTACTTTGAGTATGAATACAGAGATATGCTCGATATCATTTGTTTTTTGTGAGCCGAGGCAATCAAATGTTTGTTACCATCAATAAACTGTTTTGGTTTGACAAACTATTACTGAGGGTGGTGGATGAAGTTTGTTTTATGTTTTTAGGTGATTTATGTTTAAATTGAATATTTTGATTTTTATGTTTTAAGAATTTGAATTGAAATTTTTAATTTAAAAGTTGATTCCTCCGGTTAATATTTTCAGTCAGCATGATCATCATCGGGTATTTGATCACTTGTTTTAAACCTTGACGACTTTACTTGTTGCTCGTAAAGGATCAAACTTAGTATCGACATAATATTGTATAAGAACATTGTTATAACACTGTTATGCCTACAAATGATTAAATTAATGTATCATTTGAATTTATACCAAAAACATTCAAAACTTAATTTTGAAAATAAATTCTTTTGGTTGAAATCTTCTATCAACTCAGTCATCATCAGAAATTTTGACATTTAGAATTTTTATGTTTGAAATTTATTTGAAATTCTCTAATTTTGATATCTTTAAAATATTAGTCTTGTCAATGCTAATCTCGATGAAAAGGATGATCAGATTGAGTGATTTGGACTTGCATTTTTTATTTTTATTATTTAAAATTATTGAAAATACTAGACTTATTGAGTTCAGTCATTATGGGGAGGTAGATAAGACTAGTTCAGTCGGACTTACAATCATGTTTTATAGATATGGCGGCCTAATGCATTTTCAAAGTGAGATTAATCAAAGTGAATTTTATTCAAACCCGCGCAGTATTTTCAGATTCGTTAAATGTAAGCATTTATTTAATTTGATGGGCACATATAGATTTTTATTTTTTTTATTTTTTTTTTAATTTAAGGGTCTTTATGGGGCAGCTTTCTGTCTGCTTTGCTTTTGGACTGTCACCATAGTTTTTTTTTTTTTGGGAAATTATTTTTCTACTATTTTTTAGAAATTTTTGTGGTAGAAAACTGTTTTTTAAACCCGGAATGTTAAATGTGGTGATTGTCAGATAGTTGTACTCTGAGTTTTTTAAGATAAAATAAATTTGTAATAGTCATTGCAGCATTTTGAAAATATTTTCTTCTAAAGCAACTTCAAAGTTACTTCTTCAAACAGTTGCAGCTGCATCAAACAAACTCAAATTCAGATTTTGTAGTTTAAAATTTAGCACTTATATCGGAACACATGTAGCCATTTAATTCATGTATTTGGGTAGATAACATTGCATGTCTTAAAGCAATTTATATGATTTTAAAGTATGAATTAGATCAATAGTTACTTTAAATGATAGATATAAGACTTAAAGTTACATAAATTTATCTTATATGAATAAATATATTGATGCATGCAGTTTTTAACTTTAAACTTTTGAAACACCGTCTTCTCTACATTTGTAAGCTTGAATTTTGAATCCTGAGGTGAGAATTTGAATGTCAAGCAAATGATATCTAAATTTTGTTGAATTCTTTGACATTCCAAAAACTTTGAATCTTTCTAATAAATGAACGGTTGCACATCTTCTAAGTGGACTTGCATAAGCTTAAATTACTTTTAATTTCACGTGCTTCTTTGTTAACCATCAAATCACTTTTGCTTTGATTTAAAATTATTTTGTAAATTTAAACGTTCACATTTGAATCATTTTTCTAGCACGAGGCTAAATTTTAGATTACTTTTCAAGTTTAAAAGCCCAAATTTGTTCATTTCAAAACTCTAAGAGCTTAAGGGTCTGTTTGGAGTAGCTGTGGCTTATTAATAAGCTGCTGATAAGCGGGTGATCTAGATAAAATGTTAATCAACAGCCGATCCGGATAAGATGGTTAGTTGTTTGGTTTGTATTGTTGGAAAACAACTGATTTGCAGTTGTTTCTTGATAAATGATCATTCTACCCCTGTGTAGTAATGTTGTTTGAAGCAGAATTGTCATTGCAATATATTTGATACTTGAGAAGAAAAAAACCACTTCAAAACAGTACAAAAAAAATATACACAATTCACTTAACCGTGAGTATCAAGTTTGCTAAAAAAAGAAAAAAATTATTAAAATCACAATTAAAAGTATGATAATATTAATTTAAAATTCGGACGGCATATGTCATGAGTTACATCGTTCTTCAAGGATACCATCCAACCTCGATCACTTTCGGCAGTAGAATCTGCTGAAATGTCTACATGCCGGAAGAACTTACACTTCTCCGTGATACCCTGCAGGCATTTGTAGAACTGTCTCTCGTAGCTACTTGCTTGACGTGACATTAGTAGGGAAGTCTGTAGTCCGCAATAGCAGAGCACTCGTCGGGAGGTCCCAAAAATCTCGAACCTCATCTTTCCTAAATGATTCAAAAGACAATTGATTAGTCATGACATAAGTTGAAATTGCTAACACGAGTAATTTAATACAATTTTTGGTATGTATGTGGTCTCATAGAACTCAGTATACCAACCAACGAAATTGTCGCTACAAGAAGACAGTAGACCTTGTAAAAAAAATTATTTTTGGTTGTCTTTAGCTCACTTAATACCCAGCTCGTGTATGTTCTATATGCCAAAAAAAATGTCTCACTTAATACCCAGCTCGTGTATGTTCTATATGCATATCACCAAAAAAAAATGCCATCTAGAAGTACCTAAAAAACCACGACATTGAAAAGAAGAGAGGAACATGGTTGTCTTTATCGGGACATCAGTTTCTATAACCCGTGTCAATTTCTATAATTATAATTTAGCGCATTTACATATATGCCACCCAGTTCCCACCAGAGTCACCTATTTTTGCCTTGGCTGTTTGGTTTTCTTTGGGGTTTAGTTGCTGATAGTGTTGGCTGATTGGTTTTTTGCCTCGGCTTTTTTTTTTTTTTGGGTTAGTTTGGTTTGTAGTGTTGGCTCTTTGGTCTATTTTGCATGGCTATTTGGTTTATTTGTTTTGGTTGGTTATATTGGTATTTTCAAGTTAGGAAGGATTAACATAGTTGGCTTAGAATTTTTTTTTAAGTACGGATACTACTAATTTAACCTTTCCAATTGTGTTAGATTTTAAGAGCGGTGATGAAAACCAACAAAGAATGGATAGTTCAACTTCTTGTTAATAAGAGTTCACTTTATTTGATCTCAAAGTGGGTTCATTGTTTTTAACTTGAATTATGTTGTTGTGTTTTGGAATTTCTGGTGGATATTTCTCACGGTTTACATTTCTATTGGACTTGGATTTCTTATAAACTGAATTTAAAAATGACATGGGCAGCGCTATCCTTTCTGAAGCTGGTTGTTTTATCCGAGCTTAAATTTTAGCTTTGATGTTTCTTTTGTTTCTTCCCTCATTTTTAGGAGTATTGCAATTTTCTAGCTTTAATAAATGCAAGAGTTCTTTGTTTTTATTTCTTTCTGCATAAATATGAGGTATGTTGTATGTCGTATGTCATATGCGGTATGCCCCAATCCAAAATCCAGGTATAATCAGTCTTTAGTTTTTTTTCCCTGCTAATTAGAACTTATTATTTCTTCAAGTTTTACTTTTGTGCAATATTGAAGGAATTTGCTTTTGAGGACGAAAAGATCAACTTTTTCTATTTT